AACTTGTTTCAGTGAAGCTCAGATTGTTCTTATGTCTGCATTCCGTGCACACCTCTTCTGTCAGATTGAATGTGTTTTAGTTTCTTTTGAGCTTTAACAGATATTTGATATTGAAATTGATATCCAACAAATAGAGAACAATGTTAATATGCTGAATAATAAGGATAAGGGTCAGTTCACACTGACAAATTCCTCCATTGGATTCTGCATATGACCATATGAGAAATGCTAATATAAATTAAGCTGAATATATCTTGGCTGTTTTTTTAAAATTATTGTTTTAAGGTTTTATTTGAAATGTTTGTATGCTGATGACTGATTACTTTTTAGCAAAGAGTGCTAGGGGTGTGTGTGTGTGTGTGTGTGTGTGTGCATAAATAATATAAACATATTATAACCATATATGTGGCAAGTCTCAGCTGCAAATGTTGTGCAACATGTTTACCAACTGAGGCTTGGCATTTACCATATGAATAGTATTTGTTTCATATAGTATAATTATCTGCACCATATACATAGGATAATCCCATAATTAACAGATAATCTTTGTTCCTGGATTTTAACTAAGTCTCAGGTTTCAAGGAAAGGTTTTCAGCCAAGCAGTTGATTGCAGCAAGCTTTAGCTAACACGTGTCACAAGTATGAATCAGCCTGGCCCAGAGGCAGGCCCTGTTTCTGTGTTGACCTTCTCAGCAGTCTTCAGTATCTTGGGACTTGAGGCTGCCTCACTACTCTGCCTGGACAGAGACTGTACATCTATTCCACGGTCTAGCTACTGGCAGACTAGCAATGGGGGCTGGCCAGGTTCCAGGGTTCCTGACTCCTTTTCAGGACTGGCATGTAACTTTCTGACACAATACATTGGGTTGGGTGTGTGTGTGTGTCTGTGTGTGTGTGTGTGTGGCTTATTCTGGCTAGATAGTTGACGTTCGGATTGACCAGAGCCAGAATGCATGGTCGCAAGCAAGCTGGAAGCCAGATGCTGGTTCAGTCATCATGGACCAATGGCTAGAGGCAGAGATGATGGAGTACCAACTTGGGCAGACCAGAAACAAAGGGGCAGAGGCAGAAATGTGACCAGATGGGCTTCAGTAAAACTGTTACTTCATCCAATGAGTCACTCAGAATGTGGAACGAGCTTAGAATGAGAACCAGAAGAGCCTAATGGGGTGGACCTGACCTACATAAGCCATCTTCAAAGCCTCACAAATATTCAGGGCAGATGTGGCACTGAGAATGAGGCTCAAAGCAACTTCCCATTAACCAGCACTATAAATCTGCAAGTTATTGCAGAGGCGTAACTGTACAGCTTCTATCCTCCCCACCCAGGATGGCTCCACATGCTGCCTGGGGATGGTGGGAGCTGTGGTCTAACACATCAGGAGAGCACCGGCCTGGAGAAAGTTGTATTATAGTTAAGGTACAATCCTATACATGTTTGAACTGAAAAAGTCTTCCAATCAGGCTGGGAGTTGTTGTACTTTTTGGGTCTAAACAGGCATACATTTGTGCCTCTGTACAGTGTTTATCCTTAATTCTTTGAAATTCACACCCCTTACTATGATTTTTTAAGGAAACAAGATAATTTAATTCACATCCCTCCTATTACATTGGAACTAGAAGATAGCACAGTGCTCCCATTGTGGATAAGGGAGCCATCCAAACTATTTGCAGGGGGGTTGGGTGGACTGGGGTTAAAGTGGGAGTTGAAAGTGGAAATCAACTTGGTCAAAGCTTTCCAGAGAACTTGTGGGTTGTCAGAGAAGCCACAGTTTAGAAGAGTGACCACTAAACGCAAGAGCTTACCAGCATGGCTAATCTGCAGTATCAAGAAAACCATTAAATGAAAGTCGCTTGTATAAAATCGAACTATTACCCAAACAAGAAACACAATATGCACACATGACAGTGATCACATGGATTCCATTGATTTTTTTCACATACAATACCATATTTTGATATTTATTTGATATTCACTGTGAACTGCTTTGGGCACAGGCTACAATGGAGAAGCAAAACACAAGTAAATTATTTGTTCTTGATCGAGTCTAAAGCAAGTAAAACATTTATAAAATAATCTAGAGGAGTTGTTGTTTTAAGGTTTGAAAGGTCTTTAGAATAAATTTAAGAAATAGTATCTGCTTCTGTAGCAAAGCTGTTCTTCACCGGAAAGTAATTACAGGGAAAATAGCATCATCTTACACAACAGAGATGCCCCTTCTGTTCATTTAGAGTGGCATCTGTTCACTTTGGGGATTGCACAGCATTTTTATTGCTTTTTTATCTCTTACCTCCATGAAGGCAGAACAAAATGTATTCCATTCCCTCTTCCACAGGGATGACTAGTAGGGGCCCATGGTGCCCGGTTTGCTGCTCAAAGCAATATCAACTAGTCCTGATAGGCTTGTAAAGTTTTAGTTAATAGGTGTGGAAAAATGTACGTACTATTTATTTAAAATATTTATATGCCGTCCTGTCGCAAAAAGCCTATTGCATCTTTAAGATAAAAAAGTATGTTAAAATTGTAAATCATACAGCTGTTGCATGCTTTAATTTTATTCATTTTGTATGTAAAATATGTGTAACGTGTTTACAGCTTTTACATGTGAATTTTGCATGTAACGCCATGCTCAGAGTAAACTTCCCCAACCCTAACTGCAGTACTCATCAGGTCCAGCAGGCATGGCCTTTGGGCATTGTGGGAGTTGTAGTCCAACACAACTGAAAGGCACCAGGCTCATATCTGCCTGCTTCTTCCCCTTTGCATATTTGTCAGACAGCAGTTTTTAGTGTAGCAACAGCATTTCCCTCCTTCTGATCCTGCCCCCAACCAGAGGGCGCCAGGTAGCCTTGTCAACCACCCCTCGGGTCTGACGGTGCTGCTGCTCAATGCCAGGTCGATCAATAATAAATCTTCCCTCATCCA